TAATTTTAGTGGTCAATGTGAAGATGGAGAGAAAATGAGACAAACATCAAAATGGAAGATAAAACAAAAGATCAATTTTTCTCTCTCTCTCTCTCTCTCTCTCTCTCTCTCGTCCTCCTCAACTTCCTCTTCGCATCTTCCCACTCTCATTTCCCATCCAAGAAGATAGATCTTCCTTTTCCTGATGTAGAGAAATGAAACAACACAAAAAATTGATCTTCAATCGATTGAATATTTTCTTTATCTTTATCTTCTGCTAGCTTTTGGGTAGGAAGAGGGTGGAAGATGAAATTGTTTAACCGGAAGTACACTTACCAGTCTTGGAAGATAATTTTTTACCCTTTTCCTGGAACAATAGTAAACACAAGGGAGAAAGAGAGAAGGAGAGAAAAAAGCCAAATCCGAATAAGATTATCTCGAATCATCTTCATCTCTTAACCATTCAATATAATTTCTGGAACTTTATTCAATTGTTACACTTCCCATCCCATCGATAGTCCAGTTTATCTATTGACCAATGCTAAAGCTATTGAATGGGAAAACTAAATGACCCGAACATGAGTAAAAACAACAATAGAATAAGAAAAAAGTAAAAAGTTTACGAATGAAAAATTTTCTCCAATCCATCTCACCTTCATCACCTCTTACCTGCGATTTTACATCCTCATCTTTACATTTTTACCTTGAAAAGTAATTCAATTTTCTTCATAATTTCAAATATAATCTTCATGATTGAAGTGAATATAAAAAAAAGTAATAATAATCAACCCTGATCAACATTCAACGTTGTAAATTTGATCACATCAACAATCAACTTGATTCCTAAGTTGATCAACTTTATCCCGATTTCCTATTGTATTATCATATTCATAATCTTCATCGTTCCTTTTCATCCTGAATCACCATGAGTTCATGAAAGTGAATGAGAAAATTCTGAATTATTACATAATATTAAACCTTATAATGTATTCAACTAATCCATCAAAAGGTAATCAAGTAAATTTAATCATCAGGAAAAAATGAGTAACCTAATTTTTTCCGTCCCTCTAATCACCCTGACATTGATTCATCTTCCTGATTATCATCAATACAATTTAATATTAAACACTTGATTCAATTGATGATCAGATTCAGTTTATAAAATGAAGGCAATTTAGTTAATTAGGATAATCAATAACATCAAATTGAAATCGAAAGGGTTTACCTTTTTATTTGTTCTCGCTGAGGATTTTTAATCATTGAAAGTTAATCATGAGCATTGGGAGTGGCACTGGGAGGGTGTGGTATGAGTATTAATGATTCACCTTCGTCAATAATTACGATAAAATTGTTTCCACTACAAGTTTTCAGATTATTTAACAAGATTAAACTTAATGGTGATGACCAATTAATTGGTGATTAAATGATGAGAAATAACCATCTGATTAGGATTAAGACAATTATCATCTATTGATAATACAATCATGTTGATGGTTATTGAGATTGAAATTTGAATTGGCTTATCTGATTTTATGTTTGACCTTTATGTTTACAACTGATTAACCTGGAAAATATTGACCAACTGGACATGATGTTTATCATTGATTAACATTGATTTCATGGTGATTCAGTTGATATGAATTACTTTCTGAAATTTAATCAAATATTGAAACGGAAATTTTTATTTCTATTATCATGATAATTTTTGGTTATTTACTCATTGATCGTAAGGAAATCATCACGAAGAGAGAGAGAGAGAGAGAGAGAGAGAGAGAGAGAGAGAGAGAGAGAAATGAAAATTTACCTTTTATATGAACTGAGCAGAGAAAAGGAAATATTTTCACCAGAATTGCATGAAACTTGAATTTCTCATACCAACCCGACCCTTGACAATCAGTTTCTCTCAATTTCTGTCAAATTATCAATAGTTATTTGTTATTATTACCATGAGATGAGAATGAATCATTTACAATGGTTGATATTTAATAATAATGATGCAAAAGTGAAGATGATAACAGGAATGACAGAGAAGATGAAAATTCTGTCTCATTTTATGACAAGAAAAGGGGAAGAGAAAGAGAAGAGAAAAAAAAATGAATTTCGAATGAAAAATTTTCCAAACTTTAATATGAGTATAAAAAAACGAAACTTAAAACCCATAAAGAAAGAGAATGAGAATGAAGATGTATGAGAGATGAAATTTTGAAATTTTTCATCCTCATCTTTTCCTTGTTATGTATCCCCATATACACTTCTTCCCATGCTCATGATGATTTCCCCATGAAGGGAACCCAATTTCAGACAAAATTCCTGTTTCCATGATAACATTTTTATTACTTTCATTCATATTATTGTTATTACTTTATGATGTTTATCATCAACTGGACAAAGGGAAAAAAGTTCTAGACATTATCAAGATTCAGGGGATAGATTCAAAAGATTCTGAAAACTGAATGAATACATGATAAGAAAAGATGATAGAGGAAGATAAAAAGAAATGGAAGGAAAAAGAGAAGAAAAAAAATTCGAATGTATTAGATATTACTTTCCAATGGTTATTTCCATGATGATTGTTATTGAATATGGAATATGAATAGATAGATGAATGAAAATAGGAAAAGTGAATAAGGTAAAAGGCGGAAAAGGAAAAGGAATCATCAGAAATGAATTGGAATACATGAGCTATAAATATTCAGTAATAGATGGATATTCAGCCACAGGGAAGGCAAAGGGAGTGGAATTGGTTAGTGCACAGAAAGAGTTGAAAATATATAAATGGAAACTGAATAATATTCAAAAATATTTCATTTTGTATTCATAAAGATGAGATAGTAAATCAGGGGGAGAGAGAATAGAGAAAAATTTTCATTTCCTGTTACCCTTTTCACTTCCGCATCCCAATTTTTTTCCTCAGAATCCACACACACTCCACCCTGGAGTATATATCTTCAGGCATCAATGCGTGACTTTCTCATCCTCCTCATCCCTTGGAAAATCATCATTTTGTAACTTTTTCATTCTCTTTTTCATCATTCTCACTCCCAATTCTCATGATGATGATACAGAGCTTTTACTCTCCCTCCTCATCTTTCATGATGATACTTTTTTTTTCTTGGAGTTTATTTTACTATTTTTCTTTTTCCTTTCAAACTTATAACAAGTTATCATCTTTCTTCATCTTCATTACTATCAACTGATTAACATGACATGACATCTTTTTAATCTATCATCATTTTCACTTTCCTTTTCTCTGTCTTTTTATCCCTCATCTTCCATCCTCATCATCTCAATGTGTCTTTCATCATTATCATTGTCATCACTACGATTAAATAATAATATTTTCCTATTTTCTTCATTCGCTTAATGTATCTTTCTCCATGAATCCATTATTATTATTATATAATAGTATTTTTTTTTCTTCTAATGATAAACTGACCCATATCAAACAGGTTCTCATTATCATTTCCGTATCATCATCTTTATCATCCTCTTTCATCACAATATCATTATCTTCATATTTTCCCTCTTTCTCTCTTTCCATACCCTCATCTCTCTCTCTCATGATAAGATGACCAATTCATTGACCAGAGTCCATATCAATATAACATTCATCAACTAAATAATAACTATAATAACGATCACGTGATAATGGTCATGTTGATGATGATGATGATTTAATGGACTCTTTTGGCTTGTGTAAGTCACATTGATGATAGTTTATCATCTTTTATCATCCAATTTTTTCTTCTCTCTCATATCTCTCAAGACTCTCGCTCGATTCTTTTACTCCCTTGTCGATAAAATTGGTAGACATGAAAAATCATCATCTTCGGATCTCTCTTTCTCTCTCTCTCTCTTGCTCAGTTTGTCTCAATTTCTTGGAAGAAAATGGAAGAAGACGAAAAAAGAGAAAAGAAAAGATCATGTAGTAAGAGGAAGAAGAAGAGGAGATGAATATGATGTAAAAGAGAAAAAAGAAAATGATGAAGATAAAGAATAGAATAATTTCTCTCTCTCTCTCTCCTTCCTCCTTTTCTATTTTCATCATCTCCCATCTTCTAGACACATACACAATAAAATAACCCTAATTTGCTTTTGGTCACAAAACCATCATCATTTTGAAAGCGAAGATGATAAGAGAGAAAAAAAAATTCTATTCCAAAAGGAATCACTCATCAAAGAGCATATCTCAGATTCACTTTGACACAGGGTAACCTAAAGTCCATTGTAGTTTATCTTCCTCATCTCTTTTTTTCATCCTTCTTAACAAAAGCATACAACATACGCTACACTGATGATGATGATTCTCCTCGTCATCAGCATCTTCATCAATGAAGATACAACAAGGAAGAAAAAAAAAAGTTCTGATGCTAAACACTTACGATGTTAGTTGTTGATCTGCAGTAAAGAAAAAAAAAGACAAGTTATCATCCTCATCCTTTCACTGTCTCCAAACATTTCATCTTTAACATCTTGCCAACATCACCAATCCACCACACCCACTATACCCTATTCTAACCTTATCTTCATCCTCATCTTTTTCCCGATATAATAGTTTTACTTCACATCTTTCAACAGGAAATTCAACAATATTAATATCTTTTGTTATCTTTGTTAAATGGTCAATCTGATTCCATGAGGAGAGTTCATGAGATTCAATGATGAACAAAAAAAGTGATTCAACTTATCGCCACAATAGAGTATCTGTTGATACACTGATTTCTAATGAATTATGATTAACTTGATTCACGAATTTCTCATTTTCAAACTCGAAAGATTAAAAGTTCACTGAGTCCATTTGATTTACCCTTTACATTTCGAGGTCAAAGGACCATAACCCAAAAAGTTTCTTCAACAATTTGTACTGAATAATAGTGAGTTTGTGAAATCTATCGATAGATTTTCACGATTTGATTCTGATGCTGATTTCTAACGATTAATGAATTATCATCACCTTGAGATTGTTAATCTAATAGAAATGATCCATTAACTTGATGAGAAAAGAAATGAAAAGTTTACTATTGCTAATATAATCATCGTTTTTTTTATTAGAAACTTTTTGTTGCTTAGTTGATAATATTTTACTCTTGTCTTTTGATGAATTTACATTTATAATTAAATGAGAAAGAGATTCAATATTTACATAAGAATATATTGAATTTTCACCATTCGCTTATAAGATGTTCTAGAATTCACCAAGCCTGGTCATCAGAATCCAATTGGAAGTTATAGAAATTCATTCATCATTTAGAGCATCAACTCTTATTATCAACATGAGTGAGTCATTTATTCACAAGTGATGGAGGATAAAAAAGATGAAGGCGGTGAGAGAGAGAGAGAGAGAAACATGATCTAGATGAAAATGAGTTTTTCTCCCACCGGTGGATGAAAAAAGCTTTACATGTCAAGATGATTGTTGTTAAGATGAATAAGATGAGAGGTGGGAAGATGAAATCAAGTTTGAATTCTGTAAACATGTTATTAAATGGGAAGTTTTTTTAATGAACATTGTATACATAATATGATTCTGGTGGTTAATCATTGATAATTAAGTTAAATTGTTCCTTCATCAAGATGAATGATTAACTTTCTGCTGATCATTAGAGGTATTGATATTTTACATTGATTACACTATTTTATTATTGCAAATGAATAACCTTTAATCATCTTTATGAAAGTTATTAATATTTATCAATATTACTATTTTTTTATTTAATATAATACAAATTGTAATTTTATTAACAGTTGAACTTTTAATTGTTAGCAAATTAGTTGAAATATTTTCAATGGCAAGATGTAAATCATTTACTTTGTGATTGACCATAACATTGGCTATCAAACTCGATATTTGGATCTTTATCTCAATCCACTTAATCCACTTAATCTTCCTCTTCCCCCTGACCCATTAACGTTATTACTCAGGTCAATTGTGTCCGTTAGACTTAAGAATGAGACCTCATCAGTTTGAGAGAGGTAGGAGACACTACGATGTAACCAAGATCTATTGTCCACTCGAGTGTCTTTCACAATTGATGTGTAAATTTTACGAGATTTAATCATGGTTAAAATTGCGAAACAAAGCATTGTAGTTATAATTAATGATCCAATTATGAAAGATACAATTCCATATGAAGCAAGGTGAGATGATGACGATGATGATGATGACAAGGAAGCAGTTGATAATGATGGTAAAGTTTGATAAGATGAAAGTGATGAGGATGATGAAGGTAATAATAGTAAACCGGAAGATGATGAGGAAGTTGATAATGAAATTAATGGTACAGATGAAGATGAGGATGAGGATGAAGATTTTTGAATAATTGAACGCTTGAAATTTTCACTTAGTCGACTTGGATTGTTAATTGTTTCATTAATTATTGATTTATTATCAGGTTTTATTGTTGTTGAATGTAATTTATGGGATGATGATTGTTTACCTTCAATATTATCATTTTGGTTACTTTGGTTTAATGATGATGATGATGATAAGTTATCATGATTATTCATGGACATTGTTTTTATGTTATTATCAGATGAAACTTTTATCTCACCTGAGGGCAGATAATCAACTTTATCTGTACGATTATTTGAAAGGATTTGAGGTGAACCATAATCACTAGCATGATGATTATCATCATGGGATGAAAATGATGTAACAACAACTTGGTGACCTGAGGATGATGATGAAGATGTTGGTTTATCATGTTTACCATTGGTGATGCTTATGTTGCCATTTACTATTATCAAATGATGATGATCATCATCATCATTATTGTTGATATTTGTTTGGTTTAAATGTAAATCGCCTGAGGCATAATCCTTTGAATGATTCAATTTTGTATCAAGATAATGATGACTGGATGATGACATTGATGATGAAGATGATAAATTTACCTGAGTCAAACCTTTGGGCATTATTGTTGATGTTTCATCATCATTATTAGCTGATTTTGATGTTGTTATTGGAGATAAGGCCAATTGATTGTTGTTAATTAATTTAATGTTAAGATGGTCATGTAACTTGATTAAAGGTAATCCTTTTAATTGTTGAGGAGATTCACATTTAATTACTTCACTTGAAGGTTTGATTGTTAACTTTGCCGATTTTAACCATAAGCTTAATTGTTGATTATCTTCTAATGAGCAATCTAATTGTTGCGAATCAAATGTTAATTGTTCAATTTGAAGTAAATTTTTGTTTCCAACAAAATTACCCAATGATTTCAATCCGGTTCCAAGGAGATTTAATTCAGTTAAATTGGACGCAATTAAATTAACTCTCTGATAGTTATGGTTAATGTTACAATCAACTATTGTCATAAATTGTTCAGCTAAATTGTAACTTTGTTCAAGATCAAGTTTCTTGAGATGATTAAGGTGAACATCAGTACAATTAATAGTCTCGGTTAATTGTGATGACGATGTTGATGATGATGAAACGATTTTGGACAAATTTAATTCCTCTAAATTTGGTGTTGATGTTAAACTGATTAAATCAATGATTACAATTGGATTAGCAGAGAGATCAAGACATTTCAAATTACTTGGCCATTTAACATTAACCAGATTGGTCAGTTTGTTGTTACTCAAATTGAGACGAACCAAATTAACTAAATTAGACAATGAATCAGTTTCAATTGTAGTAATCAAATTGTTGGATAAATCAAGTCTTTCCAATTTTACCAATGGACTGAAAATGGTTGAGTTGATTGTGGTCAGTTGATTGTGAGATAAATACATTTTACGTAAAGAGGGGGGAAGATCAATGGGCAGTGAGGTCAGTTGATTATCTTTAGCCCAAAGTTCAATAAGATATTCAAGTCGACCCAATGAATCCAATTCAACGATAGACAAACCATTAGAATCGAGGACCAAAACATTCAAGTAAAGGTAATTATCGAAGTCACCGGAACTGATTTTACTAATTGCATTACCCGATAATCTTAAATCACGTATGAAAGGATCGATACCATGAGGAATTGAAGTTAATGATATATTGGAAACATCAACGTACTTTAATTTAGTGGACAATGAATCGAAACGAGTGGACATTGATATTGGATTATTTGAGATAATCAAATGTCCAAGTCGAGTTAATTGTAGAAATGATCCTAATTCAATTGTTGTAATAAGATTACCATCTAGATTAAGATAGACCAGTTTAACTAATCCAATGAAAGTGTTGATTGTTATGTTGGTCAATTGATTAGACCTTAAATTAAGATGTTCAATTGAATTACAACCATTAAATGTTTCATAAATTGATTGTAATCTATTTGATGAGAGGTCAACAAATTTAAGGATTGAAGTTGCTGAGCTGAAAACACCAACATTCAAAGTGGTCAGTTTATTATTACTAAGGTCAAGCCTTTCAAGGTGTATAAGATTATTGAAAGTTTCATTGCTGAGGGAGATTAAATTTAATGAATTTAATTTAACTTCTTGGAGTGATTTTAAATTGGACAAGTTGAGATTTGATGATGAGGATGAGGATGATAAGTTATAATTTTTAATCTCTAATCTGGTCACTGTGATGGGCAGTAAAGGTAAATTTGAATCCCATTGGTCATCACCGACACAACTCACGTAAAGATTATCCTGATCACAATAACATGAATTTGGACATGATGATAATGATGCCAATGATGATGATGATGATGATGATTGTTGAAAGTTTTCAGTTGAATTTGGAGATAAAATCTCAGGTGATTTGGTTGGAAATAATTTCACGTTTGAAATCAAACATAATATCAAATAAATTAAATGGAAACATGATAATTTTATCTTATCCATTGTATCTTGTTGGTCCAAGGGTTGTAATTGTGTTGTTCTTGTTGTTGTATTGTTCAAATTCAACAAATGATTTCAACTCAACTCAATGGAAACTGAATCATGAATGTTACATGTAAAAGCAAAACCAACAATTTCATTCACAGGGACTGAGAGACTGAGTTTACTCTGATTCTGAGCATGTCAATGGGAGTTAAAAATATCATATTATCAATGAAAAATAAACGATAACTTTTAATCATTGGAAATTGTTGATCAATTAATTAAACTAAACCATCCAAAATTATCCAATTATTAATATTTGTAAGCTGAAATTATTTACAACCATAAATTAGATTATAATCCATATATAATGGTCATTATCGTTTCCTCACTCGATCATCAATCGACTGATTCTTAACCATCAGAACTTTTTTTCATTGTATCATGTTGATAATTTACAAATTATGAAAAAATCGTAACTTTCTATCAACAATTCAACTCCAATTTAACTCCCAAAGGTATTATAACTCAGCTGAGCTATTATCGTATCAGAATTTAAAAATAACCATCATTGATGATGTAAATGTGATCTTATCCTGATTCAGTTTCATGATTTCAGATTTCGGAACTATAATCAATCTGATGAGGCATTATCGCAATATCTAATATCTAATTGATTTAACTTGATACTTTCTGATTGAAAGCAATTTGATTGCTTTATGATAATAATAATGGTATTATCATCAACACCAAAATCAAATTGTGAACAATTTTTTTTTGCTGCTCCCTGAAAATTGATATAACAATATAATGGTACATGAGATATATATCATATAATATAACAGTGGGAAAGCATAGGAAGTAATCATAGATTTTATGGTTTGGGAGTTTAATTCATTTTTCATTGATGATTATCTTCATTATCATCATGAAGATAATGATACCAATATCATGGTGAATATAATGAGTCAACATATAAACCATCAAATACACAGTTGAATGTAATGATAATAGACCAGTAATCAGAGCGAAATCATAATTGCTATCATTAAGAATGAAATAAGAAGAGAGAAAAAAATAATATTTTTCTTGTCAGAATTTTCTTCAGAATTTTTCTTTCAGCATTTTTCACAATTCTAACCTTTTTTTACTACAATTACATGAATCAAGCTAATTTCATCTAATACCAAGATGATAACAGTTATCATTAGGCTGATATATTTTCACTATTACAGATATTTAGTAGACAATTAAAGGGACATAATTAATCATTACTGTCTTTTCGATATCATGGGATAATCTCATGTAGAGATATTATTTGAATGAGATAAGATGAAAGGAAAAGTAATGAATTCATAAAGATAATCCTTTTTCTTGAGGTTAATCTTTATCTGTCACCATGAAACTTTATATATCTCATCATCACTCGTTATCATGAGTATTGTTATTGTAAAAACTAAATTGTTATTACATTTGTTATTGTTATAAATGCTGAATCTGAATAGATTGAGATGAAGCATGATCAATGATAATGTAGATTTCCTATTGAAATTATTACTACTATTTTATTCAGTGGAGGGAGGGATGAAGTAAGAAAAGTTCCAATTCAGATTTTCTATGATGAGACTCAGAATTTATGAGAAAAACAAGATTGGTTTATGTTTTCTTCTTGTCTCTTTGTGATCGCAGCATTTTCTCTGGACTTTTATTCATATTTGTTTATATTTATTGGATAAAGGGGAAAGTTTTGTTGTTTCGTTCCAGATTATTGTTCATAAAAGTTCATAAGATTTCAAGGTAATTCATTTCTCTCTCCTCTTGAAACAGGGGAGCAAATATTCAAATATTTGGGTAGAAATCAATGTTTCCATTTGTCTAGCAGAAAATAACACAAACCTTTCAAGTTTCTGTTTACTCTCACTTTACATTCTCGAATGTCATTTCCCATCGAAATCTGTACTAAATATAACTTTCAAAAAATTCGAAAGAAAAAAGTTCTAATACAATCTGAAGTTCTCTTAACTTTCTCTCTCAATTTCTCTTTCTTTCTTATTCTTCTTTCAAAATTCTTCATCTTCATTCTCTTTTTTTCTCTTTATCATCTTTTCCTGGTTCATCATGGACCATGAAAATCTCCAGAGGAAATAAATTCTTCTCAGAATTTACTGTTGGTCAACATTTTCTTCTTCTTCAAAGGCAATAGTCAATTCCAATGGTTATAATCTTATATTGCCTTTGGATGGCAATTCGTTTTTTCCTCTGTTCTTTTTTCATTATTACTGTTATTACTTTTTTTTATCTTACAAAAGATTTCTCATCATCATCATCATCTCTCTCTCTCTCTCTCTCTCTCTCTCTCTCTACAATTACTTGAATTATCTTGTTAGTGTTAAAGGTTTGTTCAAATCTAATCCATTTCCGTTTCCCTCTTTTCTTTCCTTCATCCTGTTTTCAACCTCTCAATAGTTTGGCTCCATCTTCACCCATTCAATTATTTATTTATTTTCCCTCTGTTAATACATCATCACTTTCAATTATATTGTAACTTTGACCAATGGTCAGATATTATTGACTCAATGATCATTGAACTTGTATATTGATCAAATATCAATTATTTCATGTCTAAAAGGATTTACCAAAGTTCTGATTAATAATCAGAATGAAACGATTCTTTGATAATAGTTACATTTTATTACCAAACAAACATAATATTTGCATTTAATTTGATTAATCAGTTAATCCAGTTAATATTAGCTGATTGTTATTGTTTTCACTTTTATTAGGATAAATCAATTATATTCAGGCAAATATCCAGGGAATCACTTTGGTTACTCATGAAATATTTCAATATCTTCAGGAGGATGTTAGTTAATCAACTGATGATTGAAACATTTACATTCTTAAATTATCATTGATTTACATTAATCAATCGTTCATCATGATCATCATTCATGATAATGAATTCTTATGCACAGTGAATAACATGAGACTCATGATGAGTTTCCAATGAATTATAATGTTCATTATTATTTATCTTTAATTAGGGATAATCAGATTATCTCTAGAATATACTTGTTGATAGTTCATCAACTAATTTGATACATTTCATGATTAAATCAGAACTGGACACGAACTTTATTAGTATTAATATGAATCGATTATTTCTTATCAGCGAAAAGTTGATTCTTCCATCTCAATGATATTATCTATTCATAATAATGTTCAATGTTCAGACTTAGGAATAAAATATTTAAGAATATTCAGATTAGAACTTTACTTTAGTTGATTTCGAAATGGCCACGAAGGTACTCATTGTTTTTGTCTTCAAGTTCGAACTGAATATCAACAAGAAGAAGAATTCAGTTATTTTCTTTTTTTTATTCCATAACAGTTTATCTTCATCTCTATATGAATGCTAAGTGAATAATGTTGCTCTCAGGAGTTACCACCGAGTATAAATATCGAGTAAAGTATGATAATGGTTGAGATATGGATCAAGGTGATGATTCAGGTTTGAGAAATGACATTCAAAGGTGTGTTTGTATTTATTCAGGTGAGTTGATTCATCAAATTCATTCCTGAACATGGTGATGATCATTAACAAGAATATCACCATGATTATTACATGAGTTTCTTTAAGATTAGAGGAAAACACTTTGAATCCATTTATCTTTATTAGAAGAAGAGGAAAAAACAATTCGAAGTAAAAAAAAAGTAGAAAGAGTTACAAGTTCTGGATGGATTCTGATGATGATGATGAGTTTCATTTCTCATGTGAATCCTGTTAATGTGAATATAAATAGATTTCAACAGACACTCATTCCCATTAACAATCTAATGTTGATTCATGAACCTTTTTTTGTTTCCTATCCATAAATTGATTCACTAATTCACTCATGTAAGGAGATATTATTTTAACACATTATCATGAAATTATCATCATGAAAATCCTTCTATCTCTTATTTTGTTTCTCTCTTACTCATTCACCCTGTCATGTAATTCATTTGATTCATCATCATGATTAATCAATCACACCATTGGCCATGATAATCAATGGATAATCAATCCTTTAGCACCAGAATGTGATTAATGAAATTTTAACTTAAATCATGATAATTTCATGATACATGACGATGATTGAAAATGTTTCCTCATTCCCATGGATTGGTGATTATTTACTTTGTATTGAAATTAATGATAATCTTTTACTCTCATGTAGTAATTAATATCATCTAAATCATGAGAGTACATGTGATACTCAGTAATCAGAACTTTCTTTTTATTTATCTCTCTTTGAATTAGCAAATCATTTTACCACCGGTGGATTGTATATCCAACTCCATGTAATTTAATACATTATTCAAGGTGATTTCCAGTGTCAATGATATATAAATATCATCATGATGAGCATTCATATGAACAAATTTTCTTGGTACCATGAATAATGAATGAAAGTTTTTTTCTGCTCATGAAGATGATTTGGATTGGGGATGTATTGGAATTGCAAGAATAATCCTTGTTGATAGTCATTTGCTCATCCTTGTTGATGATCATCATTTCCTAGGGATGAGATTTTGGAACAAGAAAAAGTAAAAGATCAACTTTTCCCTATTATCGGTTACATGATTTTTTCCCCATGGTGAGCTTCATTTTCCTGAATAGTGATCATCATCACCCAATCCAACCCTCATTCAACCTTTAGCTGTGTTTCCAAATTGCAATACATTACATATACTCTCAATGAATACCCTCCAAACTGCTAAACTAAATGTTAAGATAATATGAACTACAGATTGAGTATGTTACCTTTTTTTATCACTTTCACTGGAAATCTATTTACATGGTGATTCAGTTGATAGAGTTTATTTTCCTTTCTCTCTCGCTATCTCATTCATTTTGAATCAACTTGAATTCATTGAACTTTCATCATGAATTGTTTTGTTTTTATCCTCCAATGATAATTTGATATTTATGATTCAATCTATTTTGTATCATTTTAAAGATAATTACTTTTCATGTAACAACTGAGAATCGTATCAAAAGTGTATTAAGATTTGAAGATGATGATAAAAGTAAATTAAAGATTAAGTATGATGATTGTGTGTCTTTTTTATCATCATGTCATCAAAACTTTCTT